ACAATATAACTGTGGAAACTGAGAGAAACTTATGGAAAAGATTCTTTGAGCCATATGGGCAAATTTCTTTATTCAGTTAAGAACAAAAAGACTGATAAACAGTCAAAGAAAAAATAATATTTACTTATAATTTACTTCATGCTATGTTGAAACTGAAATCGCCGCAAACCAGAACGACCAGTGAAAAGCAAGGAAGGCGAGGTAATCACCCACATTGAAGAGCAACAAAACAGGTGGATAGAACACTTCAAAGAACTGTTGAATCGACCAGCGCCACTGAACCCACCCAACATCGAAGCAGCACCCACGGACCTCCCAATCAATGTTGGCCCACCAACAATTGAAGAAATCAGCATGGCCATCAGACAAATCAAGAGTGGCAAAGCAGCAGGACCGGACAACATTCCAGCAGAGGCACTAAAAGCAGACGTAGCGGCAACTGCAAGGATACTCCACATTCTCTTCAATAAGATTTGGGATGAGGAACAAGTACCAACAGACTGGAAAGAAGGACTTCTGATCAAAATACCGAAGAAAGGCGATCTCAGCAAGTGTGATAACTACAGGGGCATCACTCTTCTCTCAATACCGGGAAAAGTCTTCAACAGGGTATTGTTAAACAGGATGAAGGACTGCGTAGACGCCCAACTTCGTGACCAACAGGCAGGATTCCGTAAGGATAGATCGTGTACAGACCAAATCGCAACTCTACGGATCATTGTGGAACAATCAATTGAATGGAATTCATCACTCTACATCAACTTCATTGACTACGAAAAGGCATTTGATAGCGTGGACAGAACAACACTATGGAAACTTCTTCGACACTACGGCGTGCCTCAGAAGATAGTCAATATCATACAGAACTCATATGATGGATTACACTGCAAAATTGTGCATGGAGGACAGTTGACAAAGTCGTTCGAAGTGAAGACCGGTGTTAGGCAAGGTTGCTTACTCTCACCCTTTCTCTTTCTCCTGGTGATCGACTGGATCATGAAGACGTCAACGTCTGAAGGGAAGCGCGGGATACAATGGACATCTAAGATGCAGTTGGATGATCTAGACTTCGCAGACGATCTGGCCCTTCTATCCCAAACGCAACAACAGATGCAGGAGAAGACAAACAGTGTGGCAGCAGCCTCAGCAGCAGTAGGTCTCAACATACACAAAGGGAAAAGCAGGATTCTCCGATACAACACAGCATGCACCAATCCAATCACAATTGACGGAGAAGATTTGGAAGATGTAAAAACCTTTACATATTTGGGCAGCATCATTGATGAACAGGGTGGATCTGATGCAGATGTGAAGGCGCGGATCGGCAAAGCAAGAGCAGCATATTTACAACTGAGGAACATCTGGAGCTCAAAGCAACTGTCAACCAACACCAAGGTCAGGATTTTCAATACAAATGTCAAGACAGTTCTACTGTATGGGGCAGAAACCTGGAGAACTACAAAAGCCATCATCCAGAAAATACAGGTGTTTATTAACAGTTGTCTACGCAAAATACTTCAGATCCATTGGCCGGACACTATTAGCAACAACGTACTGTGGGAGAGAACAAACCAGATCCCAGTGGAGGAAGAAATCAGGAAGAAGCGCTGGAAGTGGATAGGACACACATTGAGGAAAGCACCCAATTGCGTCACAAGACAAGCCCTCACATGGAATCCTGAAGGTCAAAGGAAAAGAGGAAGACCAAAGAACACATTACGCCGAGAACTGGAGATAGACATGAGAAAAATGAACAAGAATTGGATGGAACTAGAAAAGAAGGCCCAGGACAGAGTGGGTTGGAGAATGCTGGTCAGCGGCCTATGCTCCATTGGGAGTAACAGGCGTAAGTAAGTAAGTAAGTAATGTTGAAACTATTCATTCACATTAGCTAAAAGCTTAGCTGGAAATTATCTTACGGTTATTTGATCGGTCATACAAGTTCGTCCGTATCATCAACATGAATCTCGAGAGGCGGGATCATGGACGCGTACTGCTGAGGAGTCCCATACCAGGACGAAATCAACATCCAGTACTTCCAGGTTCTCCATGGTGGTCTAGCTTTAATTGACTCATGAATTCAACTATTAAATTACTATAATATCCACAAAATCCCTCACTGATGAATAAAAACCTTCGTTGACTTTGGAAGAAAATTCAAAACACAAAAGAGGCTTTCTGAATCTGATTATCGAAGTACTCTACTACATGTGTTGAGGACGAAAACACAGAAGGAAAATACTGTAAAGCCGGTCTGTAAGTGCGAACTTGAGTGACTCTTTAAATTAATTCGACAAGTTCTTGACTATATTGTAGCAGTCAGAAAACAGTAGTTATAAATGGGTGATCTATGGTGTTGGGGCTATCATAAATTATACTCTTATTGTTCAATCGATAATTTACTGAATTCATGAGTCAATTGAAGCTAGACCACCACGGAAAACCTGGAAGCACTGGACATCCGTTTCGTCCTAGTATAGGACTCCTGGCGGATTCGATCCCGTGTCACCCAGCTTCACAGTCAGACGTTACCACTGAGCTATCCGGGCCGCGGCTGACCTCCTGTAAGACTGATATGTAATCACAATAGGATTAATCACTGGGTGGTGATCAATGTCATGCGTGTCAAGCTGGGTGGCACGGGATCGAATCCGCCAGGGAGCACTAGTTCCCTCAAGATTAAAGGTACACCTTGCTGACGAGTGCCAAGTAGCACGAAAGCCGGGTCCAGGGTTTCCTGTCGACTACCTCCAACCACCATCTAATCTCACTAATTCGGCGTACATTTTCCTGACCACTTAAATCTGGGAATGATATTTTTGAGATAATATACAGATGAGATTGCTTGTATTTTCAATATTGAGAAATATACTCAGTTGGTAAAGAAAATTGATAAGTTACTTAAAAATAGGAAAAAAAATTTAATTTGAAACATGGTTTCCCTAAATTTTTAAAGTGAATTTTCATATTTCCCTTATCTTATTTCATTTGAACTCGCTTCTGATTGGCGGCCTATGCTCCATGGGGGCGGGTAACAGGCGTAAGTTTCAAATAATATAGATGTCGATCATCTTGCTGGATCAATAGTTCAATAGATAACTCTCGAGAGTTATAAAGCAACGGTTACTGAATTTCAGCCGCTCAATGAAAACATCCATATGTATGGTAATTACATCCGGCTAAAAAGTTTCAAATAGGATGAGACTACTCGTCTTGGATTCCACTTATAGTCACTGTCTAAAATGTTATACCTTGAGACGCTGATGTATATCACGTGTTAAAGTCACTAGTCACGATTCTGACTATCGTTTGGTTCATCTATATTGCCAGCAAGACTGATGACTTTCTGAGTACCAAAAGATACACCAACAAACAAACAACAATTAAGGCCTTAAGGCTTAAAGGTCCTAAAGCACCTTGTAACCCAGTAGCCAAATTGAAGACGAAAACAGAACACAACCTAGTCCTCTATTGTACTCAATTCAATTATGGCTCAAAACCCATGCAAAAATATGCCTGAAATGAGATCATAAGCCGATCAATATTAGACTAGCACTGAAAATCTGGAAGTACTGGACAGCAGCGTTTGGTCCTGGGTTTAAGTCCCGCGTGTGTATTGTGGGTGCGCATTGCTGAGGAGTCTCATACTAGGACGAAACAACCGTCCAGTACTCTCGGTTTTCAATGGTAGTGCAATATTGATCGGTCCATTATATCAATTAAAACTCAACATTTTCCACAACCCTATACTGACACTTGAAACACTTGAGTTCACACCCCATCAAATAAGAAATCTTACATTACACTCAGTCATCCCATAAATGATAGAAGGATGATCAACCAGTACATAATTAGTTAGCAATAACTAAAAGACAGTAAAACGGATAAAAATGGTTAGTAAGTTCACAAGAAGTTTACATAAGGAGAATATCGCAGTATAATCCGAAAAACAGAGCCAAAAGTTCATTCAAAAAGCGTATATCATAAGAAAGACTTTTCATTGACTACAAATCGTTTTATACACCACAATTTGATCATTTCTTACAGATTATTAATAAAATGTAGAGATGAAATGGGTGAAATGAATTCAGTTGTCACTATGGAGATGGATCCGTTGGTGATCATCAATATCACGGTCTTTCAAAATATGTTGCTAATCTAGTGAACTTAGAAATTCGTCCCATCAAATGATGGTACAATAGTTTGTCATGTAGTTTACCATGTTATTCACGTTGTTTATGGGAAGAGTTCGTAGATCTTTAGCCCTAGTAAAGAGTCCTAGAGTTAGACTAAATAGTTATTCAGTAGTTTCTAGTTTCAAAATAATACATAGACTAGTGTTAATCCATGAAAAATATTAATTACTTTGATGGTGTTGTATCATGTAAACTAGATGACTTAATTGCAGAGCTTTCGTAGTTAGTCTGTTCAACATTATCAGCCTCTACTTTAAAATATAATCCAAAACGACTATGAAAGCTTCATAACTAAACTATGAAGCTTAAAAGATACATAATATTGCCAAAAGCATCCACTCGAGCCATTAATCTTCTCTGTTATTTCAAAATGTTAATAATTTTTCACCTGGTATTGTTTTACTTATATCTTCCCATGGTTATTTAGGACTGTAATTGATCAGTCTCATGTTGGCATATGTGAATCCTATGCGGATTGCCTCGATATAACCTTAAGTCACAAGCTTTTTAAGCAAAGATGGGTAGTGGCTAGTAGTGGAATTCAGAATGCGCGTTTCATCCTATTTGGGATTCGTCAGCTGGATGTACCTGCATCGCAGAGTTGATGTTCACTCCGGGACTTGAACCCATTACTGTTCGCTTCAAACACCCTCTCTTTATCTACTTAGCTACTGAGTTCTGATAGCCAACTTCTTATGAAATGGGGTGGTATTTAAATTCACCCTTACATTATATAATGACCAATCTTTAACACTATCCACTTCATCATTCATATATGATCTCTATTTGTTTTCAATTTCTAGAATGCTTAATGGACCAACTGTCCTATTAAAAAATAGTACAACATCATTATGTAATCCAGTAATCAATAATTTATCATCAAGATCATCATCATCATTAACATCAACAAATAATAATAATAATAATAATAATAATAATAATAATAATAATAATGATAATGATCAAATTAAACCTGATCTATCTCAATCATCATCATGTTTATCCACTACATTATTTACTAATTATTCAATGCATCCAATTCATAATCATTCTATATACACTACAAATCTATCATCATCCATTAACTATGATAATACTACTACATTGAATCATCATCATCAAGCATATCAACTATCAGATTCATTAAAAAGAACCAATTTCAATTGTCCTAATAATACCTTATTCATTAATCAAGTTATAAAGGATAAAATTAAATCATCGGAACAATTAACATCAACTATAATGATAAAAAATGATGACATAATACAGATTAGACGAAGATTACCACCATTAGGTAAAAGTGATAGTAGTGAAACTGGTCTACAAATCAATAATAATAATAATAATAATGAAACTAATAATAGTATTGTTACTACGACAACTAAAATTGTAATTGAACCTGATCCTAATGACAAGAATAGTAATAATAATGACAATATTGGTCAATATAAAACTATTGAAGAAGGTGATATAAGTAATGAAGAAATTACTAGTGGAAAAATGTTACAAAGTCAATCAAATTCAGTGAACATTGAACATAAGTAAGTTTATCATTGTGTTTAAATAATATAGAGACTGTTGAACATTTTTTCCTAGGATAGGACTATTTAGTTGTGTATCTATGGTGCCGTCACTGGGGATCGAACTCGTGACTTTAGGTTCTGAGCTGGAACTGGGATCCAATGGTGCACAAATATAACATTAATTGCTGAAGAGTATTCTTTTTAGTTTTGTCACATTTATAAACTTTGGACCTTTTTATAACTAAGTACAAACTACACTTCACCTTCTATTGAATTTCACGTAAATATCCAATAGTCAATATCATAAATTTGATTGGATCGTCGCTACAGTATAGTTCCACCAAATTAAAATGGAAAGGTGATTCATGTCAACATGTTATGGAATATATTTAATTAAATCTCAGGGTTGTTGAAGGTGCTCGGTAGGAAACTCGACACCACATCTATGTCATATCAGTTCGGAATCATCAATAAAGTGCACATGTAATTTGTAGAATTCAAAGTCTGGTTACTCAGTTTCACAGTGTGAATCGATACTCCTGAGTTATGCATACAGTGACTGATTTCCTATAGAAGTGAATCTTTTACATCTGTTAAGTACCGACTATTAACCAGTGTCATTTTTGTCTAGTTTGTTGGTATTTATAGAATCCTATGAATCAAGTTACAATTAAGTGTTCATTGTAGTCGATCAGTAACCATAGCAACAAATTTCACGGCTAAGTAGAGCATGGGTGATAATCCATTTGAAATATATATATATATATTATAGATTTCTTGTGCATTTCGTTAATTTCATTTTCTACATCTCCATGCATATATAAAAGCTGGTAGGTTCAATTCATTAGAAATATTACTATACTCGGAAAGTTTTTGATTGAGATCATGAATCGATGAGCGTTAGATCACCATTGAAAACCTGGAAGCACTGGACAGTCGTTTCGTCCTAGTGTTGGACCCTTCAGCAGTACACATTCTTGATCCTGCACGCGACATCCGGACCCAGGACCTTCGGTCTCGCGCGCTAATGCTTAAACTTTAAACCACTGAACTAGCATCCAACGTTGTTGATGTCTAACCTCAGCCGATCCACAAAACTGTGCGACGATCGTCCATTGTCTGAGATAGATACCCGTCCCTACCTGGCATGGATCAGCTCCACTCGGAAATTTGTCAACTTATTAGAGGACATTTCTTTAACGAAATTGTCAAATCATCATAAGCAAAGATGGATAGTAGCTAATAGCGGAATCCAAAACAGGCATTTTAGGACTCATCAGCTGGATGTACCTGTATCCCAGAGTTTATGTCCGTTCCGAGACTCGAACCCAGTACTGTTCAATGGGGAGATTTAAACAAACATTACAAAATAAATATCAGATCTTTTTAATTTTTACTCATTTTCCCATTTGTTTTTTTTCTTTTAGTGAATTAACAAAATCAACTTTTCCAGTCTCATCATATTCTAGTCTACGTGATATTGATAATGATCAAATATGTGCCGTTATTGTCATAATCGATTACCAAGTTGTACACATCAATTAAATTTACTTCAACCTACCATTACCACTACTACTTTTAATAACAATAATAATAATAGTTTATCGACTGGTATGATGGGTACTCGACAAAAATCCACATCAGCTATACCATCATGTTCAACATATGAGATTAGACCAAATACAACAGGGAAATTATCAGAGTATAAGCATGAATCTTATGATCCTTTATCTAATCATGATAATAATTCTTATTATTACAATAATATTAATCATCATAATGATATAGATAATAGTAAATTATTATTTCCAGCAAATTTCTGTCATGATAATTTACATATTATAACACCAAGTCAATGTTCCATTAATTATGTAACAAATGTTCAATGTTCATCACCATCATCATCAAATCATGCATATCATGAGTTAAATCAATCAAATCTTCCATATACTACTTCAATCACCACCACCACCACAACAACAACTACTAATAATAATATAAGTAGTATAAATGAAAATAATCATGTACAAAGCTTGAATTATCTCTATAGTGAAACATTTAATACTCCAAATCATTTAAATACACATTGTGATAGAAGAAATTACACAAGGGAAACACTTTTGATACATACTGACAATAGTATTGATAATAATAATAATAATAGTAATAATAATCATACAAAATCTTGTATAAAAACGGATCGATCTCATTCCGAGTCCATCAGTGGACCATTTCAACGCATATCATTATATTTTACAAATGATACACAAAATAATAATAATAATAACACTAATAGTAATAATGATAATAACAAAGAGAAACCTCAACATTATAAATCAATTATTCGTAATAGTATACCAAGTTATTCTATTCTACGTGGTACATTAAGAAGTTATATCTCTGAAGCAACATATAAAACTAGTAGTAATCGTAATATTAAAACAATAAATCATCAACATACAATTACTGTACCAATAGATTCAACGAATTCATGTCAAGCTTCTTTAATACCAATCAATAATAACAATAACAACAATAATAATAGCAACAACAACAACAATGGTAGTAATAATAAAAGTACAAAATATACAAATGAACATTTTGATACAATCATTGAAGATAAACATAATGAAGAAATGATTGTTAACAATGAAGTATCCACAATAAGACGTAGTTTAAATTCAACAACTAATACAAATCAAATTATACAAGATCCAAGATCAAGAACATGTTGTTTTTGTTGGTGTTGTTGTTGTTCATGTTCATGGTAAGTAAATCAATATTCAATAATCAATAATATTGATCTGATTGAGATTTGTTTTTTGTTTTAATTATTATTCAAGTTAATAATGTATTTCATTGATTGAAATCATGAGTCAATTGAAGCTAGACCACTATGGAAAACCTGGAAGAAATGGACGGCCGTTTCGTCCTATTGTAGGACTCTCCAGCAGTGCGCATCCACGACCCCGCACCCCGGGGGATTCGAACCTAGGACCTATCAGTCTCGCGCCAGGCGCTTAACCAACTAGACCACTGGGCAGGCGTACAATGGTGTTAATGTCTGACTTTAACCAATCCACAATAGGACGAAACGGCTGTCCAGTGCTTCCAAGTTTTCCATGGTGGTCTAGCTTCAATTGACTCATGATTTTAATCAGTGAACTTTCTAAAAATCTCCACAAAACCCCTTCTGATAATAATGTATTTATTTGTGTTGCATAACTTATGTTTGTTATAACTTATGGCTTTGTGGCCCCTATCAATATCTATGTAATGCAATGATATCGCTACTTTGAGAACAATGACTTTTCGACTGAACTAGTGACTCATAAACCTGTACGAGCAGTTTAGAGTCTTTAACGGTCCTGCTTCCTGTATAGACTTGCTTGCCTGTTAATTCCAGAATACCCATGTCACCCTTTGTTATATGAATCAATATATTTCAAACATACTGAGTTTATATACAAAACAAACAGACCATATCATACTATGAAATAGAAAATAACATTTGTACAAGATCTAGCCAAAAGTGGCTGTGATTGTGGGAAACTGTAATTAATAAACTCGATATAACTTAAGAACAGTAAATTGTATAATAATAGTCTATAGATCAAAGTAAAGCTTACAATAGGAGGAATACGAATATATATAGGTTAGTTACTTAACAAATATACAATAAAAACATATGTATAGTATTAGTCCATAAATAGGTCACAACAGTTGGCATTCATTAGTTTCATCGGGATATAACACTATTGAATGGAATGATTAGGTTGATCATATTTTGTAAATAAAACGAACTTAAAAATTAATGAAAGTGGAAGATTTGAATGTAGTTTAACTGTTAAACCCACTAGTTGATCTTAGTTAAGCCACCATTGAGAACGTGAAGGCATTAGATGGTCATTTTGTCTCAGTATCAAACTCCTCAGTAGTGCTCAGTCACAATCCCGGCACGCGGGACGTCCAATTCTCTAAAGTTTTTAATGGTGATCTAGCTTAGACTGACTCATGAACTCAACTGTTAAAATACTACAATCTTCACAAATCCCCATACTGACTTGAATATATGTTATAGTTTATAGTATGAGATATCAAATTAGAGTACACTGATAATTCTTTCATGGATTGGAACATGGACATTTAAACAGTTTAAAGAGAAACAGGAAGATAAAATTACATCTGTTAGTTGGAATTTAATGGTTTAGATGTGTGACTACAAATAGTTTACAAAATATATATACCATCTTCGATGTTAAGCAGTTGGAGAGAATCGACTGGAAATCCTGCTTGATATGCGTTTCGTGCTATTTGGAACTCATCAATAAGGTATACCTGCAATCTTCATGGTTTAGTTGTTCCACGGTTGATTTAAACCCTGATCATTAAGCTTTATAATCTGAGGCATTATGTTGTGAACAGGGAAATAAGAAGCCCAGACAAAAGTTATTTTTTGGGACGTTATTTCATTTTATTCAAACCTTGTAAAATACATATCTATTTTTGTCCCTATTTTATTCTACATAACATGAGCTTGCGTTCGATGTATCATTCATTGCCATAACCCTTTTTGTTCTGAAACTATTGTAATTTAAACATAATATCTTGCACCTTATTTTCTACCCTAATTCCCAGTTTTGGACATAATTGCATTTTTCCAAATTATCTTACGTTGTAGTCAGGATATTCACTTATTTATTCATGTACCTCTTTGCACTAATCCGAATTCAGAGATTTCAGAGTGTTCCAACTGTGCTTGCCAGCCAGTCAGGTTCTAGAATAGTTTTCTCTCTACCCCAACATGCACTTCTCCAGTTTTCTTCTGTCTTCTGATTTGAGACCTTAGGGGGGGTTCTAAACGTTCGAGTACCGTAGTTGTATTATCGTAATCTGCGTTAATTAAATAGAGAACTTAACAGTCCGAGTAATTGTCAAGAATTTTTTTCCAATATCAATCGTTAAAATCATTACAGATTTGTAGAAAATAAGTTGGCATAAGAACAAAAGATAAGTTTTAGCGGAAATTTTTTAAAATATTTTTACCATAACAGTTATTTACAGTTAGGGAATGAAATAAGAATGCAAAGTTTTACAGAAAGATTATCGATTAATGGATACATGCCATCGTGGATACGCACTGCTGAGGAGCCCCATGATAGGACGAAACGACCGTCTAGTGTTTCCAGGTTTTCAATAGTAATCTAACATCAATCGATTCATGATCTCAATCAAAAACTTAATAATCTTCACAATCCCATACTGATAAATATTATCATTGTATGATCATTAATAGTCCAGACCGTTAATGGTACCTTGACGTGATGATCCAGTTTGTATATTATCATGATCTATGTTGTCTAGATCATTGTGTTTTAAGTTCTACCATGGGAAATAGATTATTTAGCGAGCAGTATGAATAAAAGGTCCTAGGGCGTAGTCATATTGGTAATTGTGCTGAGAAATGTGACAGCAGTAAGGGGTTTCGCTCAGATAACTAGCATTTGCAGTGATGCCAACTTTTTACTCCTGAAAGGATCCGAATGGAATTTACAGAGTCTTCATATTGTTTCTGATTGAAGTTATGTAGTTAGGGTAAGGACAAAGAGTCTAAGATTAGATGTTTTATCACAAAATGACGTTAGACAAATGGAGAAATGCTCTGTAGCTAAACAGATGAGTGAATTTAACGCAAAAAATAGGAATCGCTATCTGATTAGTTCACATATTAAATATAGTTCCATAGAAACTAAATGTCTATTTACTTGTTGTATACAGTCTAAAGATATGGAATTATGCATTTGATACGTTTATTACAATCATTTCTACTTTATGATGGCAAAAACTAACTTTTCGGCACCATTTTAAAAGTTCTGAGCAGTATACGAAGGTATTTCAATTGTTCGTTACACATAATAGCAGAATTTAGAGCAAAAGCCTGAAAGTTTAATCCTTGATTCTGATTGACTAGTCCTTAAACTATACTTTTACCAAATTTATTACCTCAATCAAGTATATGATACTGAATAAACCGAATACTTTAGTTATTAATATTACTAGTGACTGACGAATGACTGTCGGACTAATAGACAAACGACTTTTTGATTTCTTTTTAAAACCGTCTAAAATTAAACATTAAAACGCGTTTTTATAGAGTAGATTGAATGTGGCTAGTAGTGGAATCCGAGACGCGCATTTTGGAGCTCATCATCTGGATGTACCTGCATCTTAGAGTTGATGTTCACTCAGATATTTGAACCGATTAACTATGACGATAACCCATCAAGCGTTTAAAGCCAAGTTTGGATTCGCTTAAAGTCTCCTTGGCCTGACGGCTCAGGATACTATCTTGGTGAGGTTTATAAATGATCACTTCAGGTGAGCTTCATACTAGAACGAAACAACTGTCCAGCGCTTTATAGTTTTAACTAGCTGTTTGATCAAAATTAGTCTGTGATAAAGAACTGCAAAATAATGTGTTTTTAATTAGTGAACTATGTTATTGGAACAGGGAAGGGATTTATGTGAACTACTTAATTTGAAAATTCTCCATGGATTTTCATCGAGTCGAGGACCCTCAAAAATCAAAGAACACTTTCCATAAACTTTACTGTTGTTTAAGACGTGTAGACAGTCCAAAGCATGAAACTACTAGAGATCAAACTCAAGACTCTCGATACTCTTGGGATATAATAAACCGTCAGATTAATGTGTTAAGATCAATCAGTTTGCGACAGTGTTAGGCAATAATTTAAAATTTTCAATGATGATTGTCACTACCGTCAACATGGATAACTTTCATCTGTCATGAGTTTTCACTTTAGTCCCAAATGATGTTCACTGAGAATGTAGTCCATCGGCCGAGTAAAGATATCTTCATAAAATCTTACTGTTATGATACCACACTGTTGTTTAAATATTAAAATACGTAAAAATGTTATCCACTTGAATAAACGCTGAAACACAATATCATTTCTTTTTATTTGGGGAGCAGTTCATACAACTCAAAGAAGTCTAGTAATATGTATTTAGGTAAAGTAATGATAATATAACTAGTGTTGGTTTCTTAAAACATTGGTTTCCATTGACTTCATCACATGACTTCCACATCTAGAATTATTTCCTAACGCTGAAACTCATTGCAGGAAGCCGAAATATCATCAGTTTATAATATGTTGCTTTGACTTTGAAGAGTAGTTGTTTAGAACTGACATCTCTCAGTTCATCACGACTGCTTGGTTCATGCATTAGAGATTATCCAATTCATTACGTTAACATGTTAACAGATATAACTCAAAATAGTAGCCACTAGTAATCATGCTTCCCTTTATTTACATGGTTCATTTATTTGATGCCTAATGGTACCACAGTTGATATGCTTTACATAACTACATAAATAAAGTCTATTCTTAGTTAAGTAGAATAATTTTATAATTTTTTTTTCTCTTGTTTCATATTTGGTATTCTGATGAATATAGTATGCGTGTACGTGCAAATCTTGGTGAATCCAAAAGACCATCTGCATCCAATGATCCACAATCAACAGTAGATTGTCAAATTTCCGATGAAAAGTAAGTTATCACCAATAATTTCATTGTTTACTTCATTGAAATTCTATTCGAATTTATCTGATCTATTCAACTAACTGATGTAAAGAAGAAGAAGAAGAAGAAGAAGACTTATTCATATACAAGGTTGCTAAGATGGTTGAATTTACGATTTAACTAAACAAACGTTTTGAAAAGTAGAAAGGAAATGTTTTGTTCTATTATAGGACTCCTTAGTAATGTATATTCATGACTACAAGAGATATTGAAGTTGGGTCATTCAAACCTCTCAGAGAATACATTATCTTTAGACCAATAAGTTTTTACTGAATGGTTTACCAATAATCATTAAGTGATTACTAGTGAATGACTTTCAAAGTTAATCCTCAGAGCTTTAATGAGAAACAATGACTAGTAGAGTCAGGAGACAGATATTAGCAATGTTAGTAAGCAACGCTTGAACAATATCGCAAACTGACTGAAACTAGAAGTGCAAAACATCAGATGTCACCTCGGTGATTTGAATGTTAAGTATTCACCCTTAGGTTTGACATTCTTAGAGCTCAACGACTAGTGGGGCGGTGAGCTACGCTTCTGACGAGTTATATACAATGGCAAAACAGTTGTCTAAGTCTTGTTGTAAATTTCAATAGAATGAATTCTACTGACCAATTGTTCTATCTCTTGTTAAATGTCAGTTTAATAGGATTTAATGTATTTTCAAATTTTGATGAAGTTTTGTTCTCTGAGCTTCAGCTAGTTTGTGCTGATGATGTCGTTCAGGAGAATGATGAAAGCTCCACGACCAAACTATCCAGCTCAGAGAATAAAGCTTCATCAAAATCATTCGCATGAGCTAAAAATCTTCTCCACCATCTCAATATTTTCAGTTCTTTCAATAGTTGAGATCATGATTCAATTGAAGCTAGACTACCATGGAAAACCTGGAAGTACTAGACAGCCCTTTCGTTCTATTGTAAGACTCCTCAGTAGTTCACATCCACGAGGAGTCCCACAATAGGACGAAACAGCCGTTCAGTGCTTCCAACTTTTCCATGGTAGTCTAGCTTCAATTGAATCATGATCTCAACTATTGAAATTACTACAATTTATTGTTTAAAATTCTTACTTGATTATTTCTTTTCAATATTGATGATCGATTTCATTAGGAGATAACATACCTCATAACTCATTTTGGTAACAGTCTATATTGGCAAAATTTCGGCGAAACTGTAATTTATGGACGAACCAATCAAGTATAAGATAACTGGTTTCGGAATTTGGCGCGAAATTCATTCATCCATTTGACTAAATAGAGTTTTGGCATTATAGCTAATGACAGTTAGTGATGAAAACCCTAAATGTAATTCCTAACCCTAACCATCAACTGTAAATCATAATTCTAACTGGTTTATAACTCTCATTTAGTCCTAATCAATCGGTGTCTATTCTTATCATGCATTGATAGTTTTAAGTTTCATTGAAACAGTCGTAGATATACTACAGTCGTTCAACTAATCTCAATAGATCCTATGACTATTATTATAGGGATAAGAAGTTCCTAAAGATTCTCTGATTTAGAGATTGTTTAAATCTTGTAATAATTTAAGCTGAGTAACCATCGGAAAGTAAAGAATACATAAGACTATTTTGTTCAAATATTGGATTCCTCAGCAACAAACACGTAGTATCTCCAAGTGTGTTACCATCAGACTATTGATTGGATATATAGTGATTCACATTTACAACTATTTCACGACCATCATCCATTGTTGTCTTTGACAAAAGTCTCATTTCTGATATGTGCAAAAAGATTTAACTTGTCATAGCTTCTCACTAGAATTTCGAGTATCCTATTCAAGCTTCGTCAGAAATGAGTAGATGTTTATTATTAGGATAGTATTATGGTACACGGCGTCGAGTCCAGATAAATATACTTCCTATAGACTTTCCAAATCAGCTATGCTAGTGTGATGACTGGGATCATGGATGTGCACTGTTGAGGAATCCCAAAACTAAGACGAAACGGCCGTTTAGTGCTTCCAGGTTTTCCATGGCGCTCTAGCTTCAATCGACTCGTGAATTCAACTATTAAAAATTAATAAGAATAAGTTTTGAGTATTTGAGAGAAATTTTAAAATGACTGACTTTTCTATCTTATCATATAAAATATGCGTTAGAGATAGCTTTGGTACAGAACTGCAGGAAATGCCTCTTGAAGCCAGTCACCAGTGAGCACTTGTTTTATTTATAAGTAACATTGAAAAGAAATCATTTTATTAATGATTCACTGAATTATAGATGAACTGGTGATGTAAGTATGTTGAAAAAGATTATGACATCATCTCTGTAATCATGATGATGATGAATTTCGTACGAAATTCAGAGGGCAGTCCCCTTGGATTTGATTAGCTCAGAGATACACTGTAGTTTCTATGTCTTTTGACTTGTTAATTATATCACGTGATATTATCACTGATCAGAACACGACTTATACAATATTAGCACTGTGCCAAACCAATGACATGTTAACCGATACTACCAGACTAGAGTCCTTATTGGTTCTTCTTGTCTAATTCAGCCTGCTGAGTTCAGAATACCAATATCAGCCTCTAATATATGAATCATGTATTTCAAACATACGCAGTTTATATACAAAGAAACCAGACTACATCATACCATGAAATAGAAAATAACATTTTTACAAGATCTAGCCAAAAGTGGCTGTGAATGTGCGAGACTGTAATTAGTAGAATGGGCATAACGTAAGAACGGTAAGTTGTATAATAATAGTCTATGAGTCAAAATAAAGCTTATAATAAGAGGAATAGTTGAGATCATGATTTAATTGAAGCTAGACCACCATGGAAAACCTGAATACACTAGACGGCCATTTCGTCCTTTCGTGGGACTTCTCAACAGTGCATATCCGTGATCCCGCCTCGTAAAATATGAACCCAGGATCTATTAGTCGCGCAAGCGAACGCTTAATCTGTAGTTTCAGTTAAATCATGATCTCAACTATTAAAATGAATATAATATCCACAGAAACCCCTTCTGATAACTTAGTTACTTACTTACTTACTTACGCTTGTTACTCCTAATGGAGCATAGGCCGCCGACCAGCATTCTCCAACCCATTCTGTCCTGGGCCTTCCTTCCTAATTCCATCCAATTCTTGTTATTTTTTCTCATGTCTATTTCCATTTCCTGGCGTAATGTGCTTTTTGGTCTTCCTCTTTTCATTTGGCCTTGAGCATTCCATGTGAGTGCTTTCCTAGTGAAGCAGTTGGATGCTTTCCTCAATGTGTGTCCTATCCACTTCCAACGCTTCTTCCTGATTTCTTCCTCCGCTGTAATCTGGTTTGTTCTCTCCCACAGTTGGTTGTTGCTAATAGTGTCTGGCCAACGGATCCGAAGTATTTTGCGTAGACGATTGTTAATAAACACCTGTATTTTCTGGATGATGGCTTTCGTAGTTCTCCAGGTTTCTGCCCCATACCGTAGAACTGCCTTGACATTTGTATTGAAAATCCTGACCTTGGTGTTGGTTGACAGACAGTTTATTTGAGTTCCAGATGTTCCTCAGTTGTAAATATGCTGTTCTTGCTTTACCGATCCGCGCCTTCACATCTGCATCAGATCCACCGTGTTCATCAATGATGCTGCCCAAATACGTAAAGGTTTTTACATCTTCTGAATCTTCTCCGTCAATTGTGATTGAATTGGTGCATTCTGTGTTGTATCGGAGAATCCTGCTTTTCCCTTTGTGTATATTGAGACCTACTGCTGCTGAGGCTGCTGCCACAATGGTCGTCTTCTCCTGCATCTGTTGTTGCGTTTGGGATAGAAGGGCCAGATAATCTGCGAAGTCTAGATCGTCCAACTGCATCCTAGATGTCTAATATATCCCGTGCTTCCCTTCAGATGTTGACGTCTTCGTGATCCAGTCGATCACCAGGAGAAAGAGTAAGGGTGAGAGTAAGCAACCTTGCCTAACACCGGTCTTTACTTCGAACGACTTTGTCAACTGTCCTCCATGCACGATATTGCAGTTTAATCCATCATATGAATTCTGTATGATATTGACTATCTTCTGAGGCACGCCGTAATGTCGAAGGAGTTTCCATAATGTTGTTCTGTCCACGCTATCAAATGCCTTTTCGTGGTCAATGAAGTTGATGTAGAGTGATGAATTCCATTCAAATGATTGTTCCACAATGATTCGTAGAGTTGCGATTTGGTCTGTACACGATCAATCCTTACGGAATTTAGCTTCTTGGTCTCGAGGTCGAGCGTCCACGGAGTTCTTCATCCTGTTTAACAATACCCTGTTGAATACTTTTCCCGGCATTGAGAGAAGAGTGATGCCCCTGTAGTTCTCACACTTGCTGAGATCGCCTTTCTTCGGTATTTTGATCAGAAGTCCTTCTTTTCAGTCTTTCGGTACTTGTTCCTCATCCCATGCCGTCTATGACCAGTTTATTGAAGACACATAGGTTTGCAAATCTCTCACCATTTTCGTTCCTTTCTCCCAGTCCGTGTCGTCTCATGATGTCTACATATCCAGTGTTGTCCGTTCCAACCTTGGCGTTGAAATTTCCCATCAGATTGGTCAGGTCCTTTATTGGGCACTTCTCGACGATTGACTGCAGCCCATCGTAGAATTGATCGTTAGCGTCTTCATTTTAGTCGCTGGTAGGCGCATAGCATTCGATGATGTTCATTGAAATACCCTTTTTCTTTGTTTTGAAGGAGGCTTTGATGATCCTTGGTCCATAAGATTCCTATCCTATAAGTGCATTTTGTGCTTGTTTGGACAGCATCAATGCAACTCCTTGTGTATGTGGGGCATTTTGTTCTTCATGGCCGGAGTATAACAGAAGCTCTCCTGTAGTTAGTCGTTGTTGTCCAACTTGCGTCCAATGTATTTCACTGATCCCAAGTACCTCTAGGTTGTATCTCCTCATTTCTGCAGCAATTTGGAAGGCTCTCTCGGTGTCCCACATTGTACGAACATTCCA